TGTATTTTATCCTTTTCTTTTTTCTTAATTCTTTTTTCTTTAATTTTCTTTTTGTAGTATGAGATTGTAAATTCTTTGTATATGTGTGTAATTTAAATTAAGAAAGATTTTAAAAGAAAGAAAGAAAGAAAGAAAGAAAGAAAGAGAAAAACAATGGAGCGAACGACAGCAGACAGGGGACCTGAAAGCAGTCTGTTTGTTGGCGCTGTTGGCTTTCTGGGTTGGCACTGGACCTCCGGGGCTGCTTCTTCTGGAATGTATCCTTTCTGGTGGGAAACCTTAAGAACATATAATCATAGAACTGTAAAGTTGGAAAGGTCATCTATCCAACCCCCTGCAAGGCAGGAATCTCAGCTAAAGCATCCATGACAGATGGCCACCCAACATCTGCTTAAAAACCCAAGGAAGAAAAGTCCACCTGCTGGATTAGGGCAATGGTCCATTTACTCCAGCATCTCACAATGGTCAACCAGATGCCCATCAGAAGCCTGCAAGCAGGATCTGAGCTGAAGAAGAAGAAGAAGAGGAGGAGGAGGAGGAGGAGTTTGGATTTGATATCCCGCTTTATCACTACCCTAAGGGGTCTCAAAGCGGCTAACAATCTCCTTTCCCTTCCTCCCCCACAACAAACACCCTGTGAGGTGAGTGAGGCTGAGAGACTTCAAAGAAGTGTGACTAGCCCAAGGTCACCCAGCAGCTGCATGTGGAGGAGCGGGGAAGCGAACCCGGTTCACCAGATTACGAGTCCACCGCTCTTAACCATTACACCACACTGGCAGTGTCCTCTCTGGAGGAAGGGTTTAAGGGACTCTGGCACTTGAAGGCTAAGGTGGTAGCGAGTGGGATGCCCTCCAGGAAGTCACCAGACTCCAACTCCAATCTGCCCCGGTGTCAGGCAGCAGAGGAACCAACCCCCACTGCAGGTTGCCAGGAATGGACACCAGAGAGGAAAAAGTCATTACCATCTGCTTTTATTCAATATTCACAGAGAGAGGCTTGGGAATGTGGCCTTTCAGAATAACGGTGTTGCTTCGAGTGACTCTCCACCCCCTCCCACTTCCTCATGAGTCATCACTATGGGTGCTGGAACGTGCCCTCTGCCTTTGAACTCTTTGCTCTCCTACTTTCAATGCCTGCCAGGTTCTGGGAGGTGGGGTCTGGATGCTTTCTAAAGACACTGAGGCCATCAGCTGTCTCTCCCCTTGTGCTTCTTCTTCCTCCTCCTTTCCCATTATTTCCGAACTTTTCTCCCCATCTGCCTCTGAGCTGTGACCTCCCTCAAACCCCTGTTGTAATTCTGAACTGTCTCCTTCTTCTCTGGAAGGGTCAGGCTGGGGAGGCAGTCTCCACAATTCCTCCTCTGCCCAGTTCCTGGCACCTGGACAGCCCAAACTATGGTGGAGGATGATGGGAGTTGGAGCCCAGCAACATCTGGAGGGCACCACATTGCCCATCCCTGGGTTATGATGAAGCCGTGCCCTCTTCCCCGGATCGGCCCCTTGCCAGCCTGGTCTCAGCCCTATCACTTGTCTCTGGCTTTCCTTCCTTAGGCCAGAATGTGAGGGAACGTCAGCCAGCGGCTTTTCGAAAAGGCAATTTGCTAATAAAATATCCATGGAAATATAAAGGGCAGGATTCGCACGTCCCTACTTGAAGTTACCTTGGTAGCAGCGGTGGCATCTGCACATTCCTTTCTTCTCCTCTCCCTTCCACCCCGCTGTCTTTCTGGACAAAGGAGAAAGCTGTTGTTTGTGGCTTCCGAAACACTTGTGCATTCTGAGCAGTAATCAATTAACGGTAAATTAGGTTCGTTTGTCAAATTCAAATCAAGCCTTCCCCCCCCCAATCTTTCCTCGCTCCGTTTGCATCCATCGCCCCGCACTTCACTGCAGCCTGTGCGTCATTCTCTCTCTCTCTCTCTCTCTCTGGGACATCTACCCTCTGCTGTGTCTCTTTTGTTTCAGCTCTTTTGAAAGCGATGCCTTGTCTCTCAGTGAGATCTCTTGGTTTTGGTATCAGAACATTCTTTGGGGGGGGCAGAGTGCAAAAAAATTTTCCACCTGGCCCCGGTTGCTTAAATGTCAGATTAGTTCAACCGCAAGGGGATGTCATCCTAGGAAAAAGGCCCAGCCATTTATTTCCTCACCCTGCCTCTCCGTTGCTAAAAGGATGACCCTGTACAGACTCGGCCACCAAGATTGCACACAAATTTCACCAAGTGGAAAGGGATTCTGCAATGTGCACACATCATGGGTAGGCAAACTAAGGCCCGGGGGCCAGATCTGGTCCAATCACCTTCTAAATCCGGCCTGTGGGTGGTCTGGGAATCAGCGTGTTTTTACATGAGTAGAATGTGTGCTTTTATTCAAAATGCATCTCTGGGTTATTTGTGGGGCATAGGAATTCGTTCATTCCCCCCAAAAAATATAGTCCGGCCCCCCACAAGGTCTGAGGGACAGTGGACCGGCCCCCTGCTGAAAAAGTTTGCTGACCCCTGGTCTAGGGCCTGAAGGTACTTCACAGAAAAGACTGCCACTTGCAGTTCAGGGGTTCAACACAAGGGGCAGCCACACATAGATCCAGACACCAACATCCTGATCTTCCAGGCTCTTCCCGCTTAATGAGCCAAAAACCTGAAAGGGGGGAGTCTCAAAATATAGTCCAGGCCCCCACAAGGTCTGAGGGACAGTGGACCGGCCCCCTGCTGAAAAAGTTTGCTGACCCCATACATTGTGCAAATTAAGGATCTGGGTCAATAGAAAGACACCACCGAGAAAGACTTAAGAGCCAGTGTGGTGTAGCGCTTAGAGTGCCAGACTAGGACCTGGGAAAGCAGGGTTCAAATCCCCACTTGGCTATGAATTTTACAGGCAAGTCCTTCCCCCTCAGCCTCACCTAGGTTGTCGTGGGGGTTACATACCCTCCAAATGTCCATATTTTCCAGGGAGAGTTCGGGAATTACAAAACCCACCCCAGCTTCTGATTATGCCCAGAATGTCCCCATTTTCGCAGCTGGCTCTGAATAGAATAGCCATACGTCCAGGATTTCCTGGACATAGCCGGGATTCGGCCGTTTGTAACAACGCCTAGATGTATGGCAACCCATGTCGGAAGTGTAGATTTTGGCGAATTTCCTTAAATTTTCACTTTTTGAAATATGGCAACCCTACCTCTGAGGGGCAGGCAGTGGGCAGGGCTGCCCTGGGCAGGAAGAAAGGGGGAGCAGAGCAGAGCACAAGGAGTCTCGATTTCTTTTTTGTCTAATGCTTTGTGCTTCTGCGTCTAACCTTGTGCCTTTCTACAGTTTATTCGTTTGTGTTTTTCTTTTTCTTTTTGTAAATCTATCAAAGAAAAAAATCAGATAAAATCGGGATTTGAAATATACTCGGAGTCGAGAGTGAATTTCATGCTCTTTATTCAGCTCATAGTGGGAGGAAGAATTGAAAGTTCCCCCAAAGTATCTGCTTTATATACATTATTTACACAATGGGCTGCATGTGATTGGCTAATTCCGGAATTCTCCTGTAGGCCAATCAGGTTGTGGATTCACTTCCATCTGGAGCTGGATTGGGTGGTTCCTGAAGACCAATCATACTCCTGCATTGTTCTAGGACCAATCAGACTGCTGCATTCTGAATCCTATTGTTCTAGGACCAATCAGACTGCTGCCTTTAGGATCCTATTCAACTCAGTACATAACAGGATTAATGGGTTTTCTTAAAAGGTGTGTGCTGTGTCCCCCTTGGGGCAGTGATGGTGGCACCCAGCCTTCTTCTGACATGAAACGGTGGGGACGAAAAATGGGAGATGGAGGAGGGTCGGTCGCAGGGGGAGTGAGAAATCCCCTCCATCCAAGCAAGCAAGGATCATTATCACTCCCAGGGGGCTGGCGAGGCATGTGGCCTGGGGAGTGTCCCGTGGGCCAGATGGAGAGGACTGGAGGGCCACATTCTCTCCCTGAGGGCCTGAGCTTTCCCATCCTTTCTCCACACCAGGGATAGGTCTATCAACCTCAACTGCTGTCTTTTCCCGCTACTCAAATCTGAGTTAGGAAAACTTACTTGTGAATCCCCCTCCCACTCACTCCCACCCACCCCAGATTTGTTCTAGTCTGAGCTGGTAAGAGAAGGAGCTTTCAGTGGAACAAGGAGGGGTGATGAAGGAGGAGATAAGGGTGGAGGTGGAGATCTTGAAAGGGCCCCTCTGCTCCAAGATGAAAGCTGAGCTGTGCAGCGCAGGGAACCCTCAGAGCCTTCCGAAGCTGATTCTGGTGGGGGAAACTGCTGAACTTTGATGGGATTAAATGGTCTGATTAAGCTAATAGCTTGCTTGGCTTGGTAATGGGCCCTCTTTTGAAGGCTGCAGGAACAAAGTGGGGAAGGGGGATGGGGTTGCCGTTCGAAGGAGGAGCCTCACATCTCGGCTGCGATGTGGTTTGAGCTTCGGTGTTTGCGCCCAGCTGAACAACAGCAACAACAGTGGCGTTTGCTCATAATATGAAGAGCTGTTATTTCCATAGTACTACCAGTGCACATGTGGCCTCCACTGACAGGAGCAGTCTATCTCTAAATATATGGTACTGGGATGGCAAGCAAGGAAGCATCTTTGCGTCTAGGGGGAAGCTTCCAAGAAAGTCGTGAGTGCCACAGCTCTCTTCCCATTTGTGATTCCCAGCAACGTGGAGGCACCATTGCTGTCAACCGTCCCTAATATGGCGGGAAAGTCCCTTATCCCAGTGCTGTCCCTTATTGATGATGTCCCTTAAATTTCCCGGGTTTCAAAGGAAGCAGCTCCTCTCCCTTCCTCCCTTCCGGCCAGGGAGGAGGGAGACTGTGTTGCTTGGCTGCGTTGCTCACCCAATAAGGAGTCTAAGAACGACTGGGGGGTGGAACTTGCATGCCTTGTGCCGATCAAATCAGCTGTGTTGCCTGGGGACTCGCCTTTGCTCAGTGCTTCCCAGCGGAGAGGTGACGGTGGTTTTCCTTGCTGCATCCCCTTTGCCGGGTTGCTGCGCTGTGGGAACCACCACTTGAGGCTTCGTTTGGCTGCTGGCTGGGCTTTTTGCCTTTGGCTCGGAGGAGCTCAGAAGTTGAACATCCCTTATTTTGGCTGCTGATCCTTTATTTTCGAGGCTGCTGGTCCCTTATTTTCAAATCTGTAAGTTGACAGCTATGGGAGGCACACAGGGCAGGACCTCCAAAGCGGAGCTCAATTTTCACATAAAACTGCATATTTACCTCAAAGTAAGGATTTCTAAACATACTTTAATCTAAAACAGCGTTTCCCAAACTTAGGTTCTCCAGCTGCTTTTGGACTACAGTTCCCATCATCCCCGAGCACTGTTCCTGCTAGCTAGGGATGATGGGGAGTTGCATTCCAAAAACAGCTGGAGACCCAAGTTTGGGAAACACTGATCTAAAACAAGGAGGGAGAACTTGCAGCCTTCCAGATGTTGTTGGACTCCAACTCCCATCAGCCCCAGTCAGCGTGGCGGATGGACAGGAATGGTGGGGGTTGTAGTCCAAAACAGGGACAGTCAATATGGCAGCTTTCGGCTGTCACTGAATGCCAACTCTCATCAGCCCCAACCAGCAAGACCACATAGATACATTAAAAGGGGGAAATAAATACAGTGGTACCTCAGTTTTCGAATGCCTCTGTAGTCGAACGTTTCGGAATTTGAACGCCAAAAACCTGGAAGTAAGTGCCTTGGTTTTCAAACGCACCTTGGAACTCGAACAGGAAACATGGCTTCCGTTTTGAGTTTTCCTTATTGAGGCTTGCGTTTTGAGGCTTCTGCTTTTCGAACGTTTCAGAACTCGAACGGACTTCTGGAATCAGCTTACGTTCAAAAACCGAAGTACCACTTTACATTGAAAACATCCCGACCACTTCTAAAATGCCACGGATAGTTAAAGGCTTCCTTAACGGAGGAAAGTTTTTGCCTTGCATCTATAATGAAGGGCCAGGCAAGCCTCCCTGGGGAGAGCGTTCCACAAACAGAGCAGAAAAAGCCCCATTCTTGTGTTGCCACCGTCCGGACTAGAGATGGGAAGACCTGGAAAAAAACTGGAAAAATTTGGGGGGGACCCAGGTTTTTTCCTTTTCCCCCCAAAGCCGTTTCCCCCCTGAAAATTTGAAAAAAATAGTTTGATATAGTTTGAATATTCCACACATTATTCCCCCCCCTCAAATTTTCCTGAAAAAAAAGGCTTTGGGAAAAACCCGAAAAAACCCTGTCATCCCCTCCCCCCAATGTTTCTGTTTTTCCCCCAGACCTTCCAGCACCCACACTTTGGAGCTCTTGCTGTAGGTGCTCTCACTGTACTCTTTCTGGCAACTTCTCAAAACATTTTCATTAGGGCCATCCCATCTGAACACGTATGTAGAAGCTGCATGCGATTTACTTCCTTTTAACCACTGCTGACCTTAATCATCTTTTGAATACTCTTAAATACCTGCTTTTAACTATTTTATCAATCATTTTAATGTTCTGTTGTATATTTTTGCCAACTATTTAGAAAGCTCTCTTACTATCATGTGGTTTATAATATATAATAACAAATTCAATTTAAAAAACACACACACTCATTTTCCTTTCAAAGAGAGTTTGAGCCTTAGTGCAACGTACTATTCAGTAACTGGATGTTGGTTACTTCTGGGCCTGGCATGCAAAAAATTTGCCTTATGCTTTGCCCCGGCTGTCCTCAAGTAGAGATGGGAAGGCCTGGAAAAAACACAGAAAAATTGGGGAAAAAACAGGTTTTCCCCTGGGTTTTTCCAAAGCCATTTTCTAGAAGTCCATGAGAAAAATGACAAAGAGGAAGAGGAAGAAGAAATTGAAAATGATAGCAGTAGTTCAGAAAATGAGATAGAATAAACTGCATGTATAAGTTGTGTCTTGGTTTGTTTTTGGTTTTTTTAAACACTACTCAAAGGGTAGACCTTCTATGGAGCTTCAATATTGAGGTGGACCTTAACTTTATTTGCTGTTGGTGCTAAGGGGCAAATGTGATTATTTTTTATGTTGATGGTTTCTTGCTTTTTTGTTGCTTTTGAGGGAAACTGGGGTGGTTACCTGTTTTATTGCAAATATAATACTTTTATATACACTGCATTTCATGCAATTTGTAAAACTGCTCCACACTGAACTTTTTTCAATTTTTCCAAAATTTCTATTTTTTCTGGAAAAAAACGGTGGGGGGGGGGATCCCCCCCCATTGCTTTGAAATTTCCAGAACGTTTACATCTCCACTCTGGACCTCTCGTGGACGAGTCCCACAAAGATCTGAAAACTAAGATGCAGATGATGCTGGTCGCTAGGTTGCTGTCAAGGCAAACTAAATTTGATTTGCTCATTCTAAGTGTGCTCTGATCTATTTTAGCTATTTTTTTGTAACTAGGTTGTTTTGATTACTTTGTGTTTTGCAGTGGCATTTTTAAGTGTTGGAAGGCTACCTTGAATCCCAACTTGGGAGAAAGGCGGGATAGAAATACCATATTTTTTGCTCTATAAGACTCACCTTTTCCCTCCTAAAAAATAAGGGGAAATGTGTGTGCGTCTTATGGAGCGAATGCAGGCTGCACAGCTATCCCAGAAGCCAGAACAGCAAGAGGGATTGCTGCTTTCACTGCGCAGCGATCCCTCTTGCTGTTCTGGCTTCTGAGATTCAGAATATTTTTTTTCTTGTTTTCCTCCTCCAAAAACTAGGTGCATCTTATGGTCTGGTGCGTCTTATAGAGCAAAAAATACAGTACATTAAACAAATAAATAAACTTTGGTTGCTCCGCCCCCTTTCCTCTGGCTCCGCCCCCCGCTGGCATGCGGCCCCCGGAAGGAGGGAACGCGGCTCTTTGGCCATCCCCAGTCTTTTTGTTCTCCTAGCCCTTTGTTGCTTGTTAGAAACCGCTGGATCTTTCCCTCTGATTTCATATCTTTGAATTCCCTTTCTTTTATTGTTCCTGACCTACAGCCTGCTTATACCAGCCAATCTCCGTTCAATTGATTCTCTTCCTCTTTAAAAATAAGCACACAAAACAAAACAAAAAAAATCCCTCTAAGACTCATTTATTTCAGCTGGCCTTTGTCTAATTGTTTTTCACCTTCTCTTCCTCTTGCAGCTTTCCCATTTATTTTTAGTTTCGTTTCTCATTACAGGTCTGTGGGGCAGGAGTTTTGTACACCACTTGGTTTGGGTGGATTTTTATTTTTTTTAAATGTGCTTCATTATATATAATTTTAATCTCACTCCTTGGCTAGGAAAAAGCTCCCATAGCGATATACAAAGATTGGAAATAGGGGGTTGTAGCCAACTAAGTTCTACTCAGAGTAAATCCATTGAAATTAACGGACCTGGAGTAATCATCTAACATGGGATACAACCCAATTTATTTTCTGCCCTCAGGCTTTCAAATGGAAACAAAGTCATGGCATTAGAAGAAACGTGGTTTGGGAGGGAGGAGGAAAAAGCAAGAGAAGAAGAAGAAGAAGAGGAGGAGTAGTAGTTTGGATTTGATATCCTGCTTTATCACTACCCTAAGGAGTCTCAAAGTGGCTAGCAATCTCCTTTCCCTTCCTCCCCAACAAGAAACACCCAGTGAGGTGAGAGACTTCAGAGAAGTGTGACTAGCCCAAGGTCGCCCAGCAGCTGCATGTGGAGGAGCAGGGAATCGAACCTGGTTCACCAGATTACGAGTCCACTGCTCTTAACCACTATACCACACTGGCTCTCAGTGAGTAAACCCAGGCACCATTTCTGTGTTGCAAAATTCTGTGTTGCAAAATTCAGCAGAACAACAAACAAACCTATGGTCACGTAAAGCATACTCAATAAACACACAAGACTGTAAAATGTGTGAGATCATGATATTGTATTTATTTGCATTACTTAGAGCTTTAGGTACTGATGAAGCCCAGGATGGCGAAACAAGGCCAATATTCCAGAAATCCTTGTCTAGATTCTGCGTAAGGATTTTGTGGAACTGTAACAACCTTTCATGTGGATTTTTTGGACTTTACGAACAGACAGATGGAATAGACACCATTACACGGATGGACCTTATGCATGAACTGACTAAAGAATGATCCTATCCACTGGGTCTTCTGCTTTGTTTGTTTGTTGAACTTTATGAGTTACTTCCATTGAAATTTATAATTTGATACTATGAACAGTATGCCTTATTTATCTAAGAACACAGCTGGTTACGTCTTGTGTGTTTATTGAGCAAAATTCAGCAGGGCAAGGAGCAGGATCTAAGCACAGTGCAATAGCGGCTGTTTCTTTCCCTCAAGGATGGCAGCCTTTGGTCAGAGGAAAGTCTCCGAAATGCGAATGATGAGAGGACTCGCGTAAACTTGATTCAGAATCTGCTTGGTATTTCTGGCCTTTCTTGGATAAGCCTTAGGGAAAGCCAAGAGCTCTCCTGCCTCGCAGTGTTGGCCCCAGTGCGGTGAGGGCGCCATGGGCATGCTAAAGCTGGGCACTGGATTTGGCTGAGCCCCAAGCCCACCAGGCCCATTTGCAGGGATTTCAGGCATTGGGGGATGGCCACAAATCTCTCTGAGTTGAGATGGAAGTCCCAGAGTGACCCAGGGCCATCAAGGGGCAGGGCATCAGGCAGGAAAACCCACAAAAAATGTTGGCACCGACCTGACCACCACCTGCATCTTCTCAGAAGGTAGGAACACACCACCGCCTGGCCCACCTTCCTGCCCAATGCCCAAACCCTGCCCAATCCTGGCAGGGCAGGCTCTTACTTTCAACCAAGTTTCCCACAGAGAAGCAAAACCAAGAGAGAGAGAAGTTCCTGCATTGCAGGGGGTTGGACTAGATGACCCTTGGAGCCCCTTCCAACTCTATGATTCTGTGTTTCTCTCCAACAGCCTATGGAAAGCCCAATGCATTTTGGAGAAATTCCTTCATCAGGGGCATTTTAAAGAGAAACAGGTATGGTATATGGAATTTTAAAAATAATATTTCAAACAATTTGGGGGGGGGTGACACCTAAGAGGGTTAGTTTCCTGTATGGAGGTGAATAGGGTAATGTAACCATGCCTGTATATATGCGTTTTCAAGACATTTGTTTCATTTTGCATAGATTTTAAGAGCCTGTTAGTACTTCTGCATGTGTTGTTATGTTACAGTTAAATTGTTTGAAAGATTATTTTTAAAAAATCAGTATATAAAGCTCTTTTCAAGATACCCCCGATGAAGGAATTTCTCTGAAATGCGTTGGGATTTTAATAAATAGCTTGCGGCACTTCTATCCCCCTTGGTTTTGCTGGTTGGTGCCGTGCCTTCCCTGCTGTTGGTTTCTCCACAGAGAAGCCACTTGCGAAGGAAAACCCTGCAGGATTGAACCCCCTGCTGTTGCTTGGGGGGTGCGGAAACGAAACACAGCATCTCCTTCCCCTGCCCCCCTCCTAACCTTAAGTTTAATCAGGTGTTTTCTTTACCCTAAATCCCTGCCCCAAACTAATTCCGGACTGGATCTTGTGGGGCACTATTGCAGTCAAACCAACAAGTCATGCTTTGCCAGATGGGCACATGAAGGGGCTGAAGTTCACAGAACTTTCCTGTAAAATTTGCTAGAGAGAACTCTGTGAGATCACTTCCTCTGTCTGCTCTGGCAGGGAACTGTAACACTACATACAGTACAGTCATACCTCATGTTGCGTTTGCTTCAGGTTGAGCGATTCAGGTTGCGTCCCGCAGCGACCTGGAAGTACCAGAAAGGGTTACTTCCGGGTTTCGCCGCTCACGCATGTGCAGACGCTCAAAATGATGTCACGTGCATGCGCAGAAGCGGCGAATCACAACCCGTGCATGCGCAGACCATGACACCTCCTTGGTGAAGCCCCACCACTGCAGAGATTCCTCCTATGTCCTCTCTTCCTGTTTTTGGGCTGTCAGCTTTCTACCGATAACCAGCTGTTTTATTCCAATAGCCCCAGTTGGGCGAAAGGAATGGAGAGGAATTTCGTCTCCTTTGCATTTTAAAGCCAACAAGCAGTATAGCCAACAATAATCTGCAGTTCACAGAATTTGCAACAAACAATCGGATTGCGCAACTCTCTGACTTTTTGCTATGCAGTTTTGGTTCAAAAATCTCTTGCGGGGAAACGCATACCAAAACTGTGTGTTCTAGGGAATGCACAGAAAAGGTGTATTTTAGGAGAAGAGAAAACAGCAACCAGGCTTTCCAGTTATCCAAAACTTTTCAACAAGCTGGATATGAAACACAATATTCCCAACAGTTTGGGGGTGGGGGTGCGAGGAACGGGGGGGGGGAGGAAAAGGCTGGCAGAGGGAACAGCTGCTCAGTGGGAAAGATGGGATGTGACTGCCAGGGTAAACTCAGTGGAGGCTGCTCTGGAAGGGCAAACGGGGCACTGCCCCACAAACCTCAGTTTGCCCTCAGTCAGCTCCCACTTGCCTGCCTTCTAAATGGCACACAGTCCAAGGAGTGGCCCTGCCTGCCAGTTTCCTCCTCCTTACTCGGTTGTTGCCCATTTAAAACTTAGCAGAGAGGAGGAAGTAGACGCAACCAGAATTAGGTGGCTCTGCCTATTGCTGATTCTGGCTCTAGCGCCATCTACTGTTGGGCTCCCTGCCTTCCCGCCCATCAGTCCTAATGGATACCAGCCACCACTGCCTAGAAACTTAAATTGTCACCACGAGACTGGCAACGTTCAATGGCAATGCTGTGTGTCTGTTGGGAGCAATGGATAACTGTGGGAGGGAAATGGAATGGAGTATTCTGGGAAAGGAGCACTGTGCCCTGAAACTGCCAGGCTACAACAGAGAGAGGGAGAGGGATATGGTGCTGCAGGGCCTTACGGTCAGCTCAACTCAGAGACCGGCGACTTTGGGCTCCTCTTCTCCTGAAGAACTCCATGCAAGACTCCATGACTAAGAAGAAACATCCTTGTTTGAGAGAGCGAGCAGAAGATAAAGTGTACTGAAACACAGTAAAATGTGATTTAAATGGTTTCCCACTTTGAAAACTAAGCTAGCATATAAATATTCTAAGTAAATAAATACGGTCTTCTTGTAAACGCTTCATAATGCGTTTTTTCGGGTTAAGAAGGCGGCAAACCCAGAAGTGTTTACTTCTGGGTTTTGCTGTGTGCGCACACGCAGAAGCGTTCTGCGCGGTTCACGCATGTGCAGAAGTGCTCTATCGCGCTTTGCACATGCGCAGAAGTGCCACTCTGGTTACTGACTTTTCAGGGTGCGAACAGCACCCCAGAACGGATTGTGTCCACAACCAGAGGTACCACTGTACGAGGGAGTGCCTGGGTTTGTTTCCTCCCTCCTCCCTCCTCCTCCCTCTTTCCTTTTGTGTCATGTCTTTTAGATTATAAACCAACAGTCAGGGGTCATCATGGAAAAGCGCGCGCGCGCGCGCACACACACACACACGTGTATATATGTGTGATAGACACACACACATAATACACATTTATACATACACCAGTGTGGTATAGTAGTTTGAATGTCAGACTAGGGCCTGGGAGACTGGAATTCAAATCCCTGCACAGCCACTTCCTGCTGGCTTCTGGTGTTTTTCAGGCCATGACTGCTGCCTGCAATATGGCTTGCCTAGAGCAGCTGCTTGAAGCCATCGCCGTGCCAGAAGGTGGAGGGTGGGGGGAGGCCAGAAGACCCGCGGAACAAGATTTCCTGCGGGAGCCTTGCCGTTTGACTCTGCTCCCGTCTTGCGGTTCCTCCGGAGCACAATTCCAGACAAGCGTGGCGTGAAGCGAGCCTGGGGGTTCTTTGATACGCTGCTCCGAGGGAAGCCTCCGGAGAGACGCTTTCAAAGCCGGCAGCTTAGCTCCCTTCGGATGGTTTTGCCTTTCATCCGGAAGATGGCAGGAAGAGAGAGAGTGAGTTGTGGGGGGAACTTAAGTGGAAACGGGGAAGGCTGATGCCTGTCTGTTCTCCTTGGGCAGGGGAGAGAGGCTTTTGGGAAGAGAAAGGAGGCCTTTGCGGATACGGCACTTGCAACACGGGGCCCCGTATGCACCATATGTTTAAAGCGGTGTCATACCACTCTGCACAATAGTCACGGTTCATAAACTCCAACATGTCCAGGGGGTAAAAACAGGATCCCGCCCCCCCCCCCGTGCGAGATCGCACAAGATCATGCCACCTAAAATGGCTACCATGCTCTCGTATGGAGAAGCAGGATGTCCCAGTTTTACCAGGACAGTTGCAGAGTATGATGGTTTCCCTTAGAGAATCATGGGAATTGTAGTTCCTTAAAGGTGCTAGTTGCAGAGAGGTTTAACAATACAGTGGTACCTTAGCTTTCGAGAGTCTCGGAAGCTGAACGTTTTGGTTTATGAACGCTGAAAACCCGGAAGTAAATGCTTCTGTTTTTGAACACGCCTCGGAAGTCGAATGGCTTCCACTGCGTTTCTCCCCAATTTTATCCATTGAAACTGCAGACCGCTCTTTGCGCCTCAGTTTTCGAATGTTTTGGAAGCCAAACAGTCTTCCGGAATGGATTACGTTTGAAAACCGAGGTACCACTGTAATTCCCTCTTCCCAGGGAATTACAGTTCCCAAGATTGTTTGGGGAAAGCCGTGGCTGCTCAAAGCAGTGTAATACTACTTCAAGTGTGTTGTGTCGCTGGGGCAGACACAACCTGTCCACTCAAATTCTACAGAAATTATTTCTCCAGGGTCACCAATGCATCATCCACAGGCACCAGTGTACCTGACAGGACCTTCTGTACCTGCCCAGGAAGGGTCTCACTAAATGTTCCCTCAAAAATCCACAATTCATGGGAGACCATTTGCACTTTCTGCTCAGTTCCTGCTTGCACCAGCTTGACATTTCCTAGACTGAACACGCCCCCCTGGATCATGCCCACATTTCATTTGTTGCCAGGCTGGGCACCATCCATCCTTGGTTCTGAGCAAAGGAGAAGTTCAAAGAGCCTCTCTGTGAACAAACATGCCAGTGGCTGATGGAGGTGCCTTTCTCTCCCCATTGATGGGGGAGGGCCTATCCATACCATTTTGTGGCCATGTCTCTCCCTCACTGCAGTTTTCAATATGGCAGTTATTATGCCATGCCCACCCCCAATCACCACTTTGTGTTTTGCCACACCCAGAGCAGCCATTTTGTGGTATGCCACACACCCCATGGCGGCCATTTTGCAAAACCCATGGCACTTTCTCAAGATTACAAGTGTGCCCACTGGCTCAAATATTTAAGTGACTCCTGCTTTGTACTGTTCTTGTCACCCCATAGGAAAACAGGAAGCTGGCTTATCTTGTCCCAGTGGAATCCATACAAATTCATCCATGTAGTCCATCCACACACAGCCATAAAACAGGATCCTGCTTTTTCAGCTAGCGCATGAAGACAGCACATGGAGAAGGAAGGTGATCTCTTACTTCACGAGTAGTGTGACCAGTGAGTGGCTACAGTGGCGTAGCATGGGGGCACAGGGGCGGTTGCCCTGGGCACAAAATTGTTCAGGGTGCAAAATTTCACCACCCGTTGCTGCCTCAGTACAGCTGTTTGCTGGGCTCTGTTGAAAACAGCTTCTCCATGTGAACCAGGAAGTGACTTCTCCAGACAACAGAACAACTCTTCTTTTCTTATCTCTGTGGCTGGAATCTCCTGGATACCGTTAGGAAGTTGAATGTGCATACGTACTCCTTCTGTTTCCCTCTTTACATGTGGCCCCGGGCGCTGGCAAGCCACGCTACACCACTGAGTGACTGCTACCCATTGGGGCTGGTAGGACTGAAGACAGGGAGCTCACCAGTAGGTGGAGTGAGAGCAGAGCCAAGCCATTCAAGTTGTGTCCCCATCCTCCTCCTAATCCTTGCTGAGTTCTACAAGGGGTGACACTGAGACTAAGGATGAGGAAGCTGGCAGGCGGGGACACCCTCTGGGTTGAATTCAACATCAAGCCAGCTTTTCTCTTCCCTGCCTACTCCAGCCCTGCCTGCCACCCACTTCTGGGCACTATAGATAAGGCTTGGTGCAGGAAAGGTTTCCTTGCCCACAGTCTCCCTTATCACTGTTCCTCTGCCAAGAGTGGAACAGCCTGTGTATGGGACGACGTCCCTGCCCAGCCTGGCAGCCCTGCATCCATAATTCTCTGCATCCCCAATTAAGTGGCCAAGCCCTGCTGTAAAAGCAAGAGATGGGGAATTATTGATCAGACATGGCTGAGGCCGTGCCAAGTCCTCCCACTGCAGATCTGCTGCCTCCTTTGCAGCAGCTTCTCGAATCCCGGGGGAGGCTTCCCATGCAGTCCATAAGGAGTCACAACTCTACGGCGACAGCAGAAACCTCAGGCCTGACCGGGGGATGTGGGAGAGAATGTGGCCCTTGGAACCTCTCTGCCTGGCCCCCAAGACTCTCTTATCCCATTCTCCACAGGCCACACCCACTGCTGACCCTCTTTGCATCCTCCTTGAGTGCTTTTGCCTGGCCTTGAACTCTGATTGTGACTCTTCTGTGTCCAGATCTGTGATAGAGAGGTGGGGTGAGTATGTGTAGGAACTAGCTGATTGTGGCATTCATTTCTCTTGCTTCTGGCCCTCCCTTCCCACTGGCATGTGGCCCCCAGCAGGTTTCCCATAAGGGAATGTCACCCCTGGGCTACAAAAGGTTCCCCACCCCTTGCTCTATAGCCACTGAACTCCTCCTTTGCCACAAGGAAGACTGCCTAGATGGAACCTTTGGGGGTGAGCAGCACTTTTGCTGCAGCAGCAAAATTGGCTTTTTTTCTTTTCCTGCAGTGCCTTACTGCTAGGGCTGGGATTAACCTCCTCTGCTAGGACTCACCTCTTTCATTTGAGAAGTTCTTTAGTCTTGAATGGATCCCTGGACCACTTCATCCTCACCCATCCCCTTTATGCTATAGTGCGATGCTACAGAAATGTTCCATGCTCAGAACACCGACGCTGGCAGTTCATGATGCTCACCTTAAATATAAAAGTTGACAATTAATGCCCCTGACTTCTTCTCCAGCTCAGACCCAGGGTTCTCTCCTTCACTTTCCTACGGCAAAAGTGATCACTACATGATCACTCGGAATGGGAATAGGACTTGGTTTCTGCAGTGGCCCTGATGCCTCTGTCTCTTCAGGGAAAGATCACAAGGCCAGACTCCCTTTGACCTGAACTAGTAATATTACCATCCTTGGCCTCTGAAGCCACTGCTATGCCCCTTTAAGCGTCGAGGCCTCACTCATAGAGTATCATAGAATTGTGGAGATGGAAAGGACCTAAGGATCATCTAGTCCAGGCATAGGCAAACTCGGCCCTCCAGATGTTTTGGGACAACAACTTCTACCACCCCTAGCTAACAGGACCAGTGGTCAGGGATGATGATGAGAGTTGTAATCCCAAAACATCTGGAGGGCCGAGTTTGCCTATGCCTGATCTAGTCCAACCCCTTGCAATGCAGAAATATGCAGCTGTCCCATATGGGGATCGAATATGCAGCCATGGCGTCATCAGCACCACGCTCTAACCAACTGAGCTATCCATTAATAGGAGTGGGGAACCTGTGGCCCTTCAAATTTTGTTGTACTGCAGCACTTATCATCCCTGACCATTGGCTATACTGGCTGGGGCTAATAGGACTTGGAGTGCAATAACATCTGGAGCTGTACAGGCTAAAGGAAGCTGAAAACCCATTTAAGGCTCAGGCAGAATTTGCTCACAATGCTCAAGGCTTGCAGCCTCCACTGGGCGCTCTCCATGGTGCTAACTCATTTCCCACCTCCCTCCTACTTCTCTAACTTTGCATGTAGGACCTGCATAGACTACAAAGCATGTGATGCACTGTGACTGAGTGGGGAGGGAGGGAGGGAGGGAGAGAGAGAGAGAGAGAGAGAGAGAGAGAGAGAGAGAGAGAGAGAAGAGTAAGCATGATGCTGTAATGGGTATTGTAGCAAAGGCACATTGAGACAACTAAGTCTCCCACACATTTCAGCTCCAAATTCACCTTCAGAACAAAAGGGTGCATGTAACAAAACAATCATTCCAAATAGGAGTGATGCTGTTCAGGATTCCAGTTAGCCACACCTTCTTTCAGGATGTTCTAAGCTGTGAGGGGCTGAAGCAGGTGTTGTTTGTAGGGGTTGCCAGATGCCCATATCAGATGCCCATGGGAGGTTCACAAGCAGAACTTGAGTGCCAGAACACTCTACCCACTTCTGATTCCCAGCGATTGGGATTCAGGGGCCTCCTGCCTCTGATAGTGGCGGGAGAACATAGTAGCTATTTTGGCTATAGTCACTGATAGCCTTAACCTCCATGAATTTGTCTAATCCGTAGTTTAAAGCCATCTGAGTTGGTGTCCATCATCATCAGAATCTGTGTCTGGCTGCCCCATGTGGTGAATCACAGAACTGCAAATGGCAGCCTTCTTAGTGCAAAGAACCGTCCAGATTGACTCCACCTGCCAGGGCTGATCATTAGATGCTACTAGTCAGGGCTTCTTTTGCCAACTGAGCCTTCCTTAAGCAGCATGTTCTTCCTGAGCTCTGGTCTGCTCCTGCATCCTTATGTGCACTCTCTCTCTCTCTCTTAGTCCTGCTGGTTTGCTGGCTTGATCCTTGTCTCTGCCTCTGGGTTTCTCTTTCAGTTCTGCCTGGCACCTCAGCCATGATTCCTGGGTCCACCCCATGCCCAGCTCTGATACATGTCTTGCTGGTATTAAAGAATGCATGTGGACCCGAGGAAAGAGAACTCTTAGTGTTCAAAAGTGCGCATGTGTAAATGAAAGAAAAAACTCGCCAGCAAAATCAAGTTGGATGCAACTCATAGCATCACATCCAAACACCTTTCCAGTGGCTTTGGCATTGCATACCTGAAGGAGCATCTCCACCCCCATCGTTCAGCCCAGACACTGAGGTCCAGCTCTTAGGGCCGTCTGGCAGTTCCCTCACTGCAAGAAGTGAAGTTACAGGGAACCAGGCATAGGCCATTCTCGGTAGTGGCATCCGCCCTGTGGAATGTCATTCCATCAGACGTCAAGGAAATAAACAACGATCTGACTTTTAGAAGACATCTGAAGGCAACCCTGTTTCGTTGTTGTTGTTTAGTCATTTAGTCGTGTCTGACTCTTCATAACCCCATGGACCAGAACACACCAGGTACTCCTGTCTTCCACTGCCTCCCACAGTTTGGTCAAACTCATGTTGGTAGCTTCGAGAACACTGTCCAACCATCTTGTCCTTTGTCGTCCCCTTCTCCTTGTGCCCTCCATCTTTCCCAACATCAGGGTTTTCAAGGGAGTCTTCTCTTCTCATGAGGTGGCCAATGTATCGGAGCTTCAGCTTCAGGATCTGTCCTTCCAGTGAGCACTCAGGGCTGATTTCCTTAAGAATGGATAGGTTTGAGCTTCTTGCAGTCCATGAGATTCTCAAGAGTCTCCTCCAGCACCATAATTCAAAAGCATCCATTCTTTGGAGATCAGCCTTCTTTATGGTCCAGCTCTCACTTCCATACGTCACTACTGGGAAAACCATAGCTTTAACTATACGAACCTTTGTCGGCAAGGTGATGTCTCTGCTTTTTAAGAGGCTGTCTAGGTTTGTTATTGCTTTTCTCCCAAGAAGCAGGCATCTTTTAATTTTGTGACTGCTGTCACCATCTGCAGTGATCATGGAACCCAAGAAAGTAAAATCTCCCACTGCCTCCATTTCTTCCCTTTTCTATTTGCCAGGAGGTGATGGGACCAGTGGCCATGATCTTTGTTTTTTTGATGTTGAGCTTCAGACCATATTTTGCGCTCTCCTCTTTCACCCTCATTAAAAGGTTCTTTAATTCCTCCTCACTTTCTGCCATCAAGGTTGTGTTATCTGCATATCTGAGATTGTTGATATTTCTTCCAGCAATCTTAATTCCGGCTTGGGGTTCATCCAGTCCAGCCTTTCGCATGATGAATTCTGCATATAAGTTAAATAAGCAGGGAGACAGTACTCCTTGTTGTACTCCTTTCCCAATGTTGAACCAATCAGTTGTTCCATATCCGGTTCCAACTGTAGCTTCTTGTCCCACATAGAGATTTCTCAGGAGACAGATGAGGTGATCAGGAACTCCAATTTCTTTAATAACTTGCTATAGTTTGCTGTTTAGGGAAGCTTTTAATGTTTGATGTCTTCTTACTGTGTTTTAATTTGTTGGAAGCCAACCAAGTCAGATGGGCAGGGTAATAATAATATTGAATAACACGCCCCTATTTTCATCGGAGAAATGTTAGAGGGTATGTCCCAGTCAGATGGGTGGCATCATAATAATAATTACAGTGTTTCATCCATGATTTTTTTTTATATCCTCCAAATGTGAAGATGTGTCTATGACCATTCCTCCACTCCCAATATGCTTCAGGTTTGTTTGCTCATTTTGCCTGAGGATGGCCACCTTGAAGAAGTCTCAATTTGAGCTGATAAGAGTCAGAGTGTTAGTCGGGTGTTGTGTTAAAGCCTATGGGGGTTGACTGGTGCCAGATGGCTACTGCTTGAAGGGGCACAGAATACTTAACTTCATGGGGCTCCTTGGCAGAGGATCTTCCTTGCATGGACAAGGTCCTGGGTCCAATCCTTGGTTTCCCCAGGAAAGCACTAGTCTGAAACCTTGGAGAACCACTGCCAGTCAGAATGGACCATACAAGCTAGATGGACCAGTACTCTGGGGCAGTGTAAGGCAGCTTCCTGCATTCCTATTTAAACCATCCCTAGATTTAGAGTGTTGGGGGACTGTCATCTTACATTATTTCTGAAGGAAAGGCTGCCATTCAGCAGCAGAGCACATCATTTCCATGCAGAAGGTCCCCGGTTCAGTACCTGGTACCTCCAGGTAGGGCTGGAAACGGCCCCTGATCCGAAACCTTTGGAGAGCCTCCATCAATCAGTGTGGTCAATAATGAGCAAAATGGACCCAATAAGTTTAAGACAACTTCCTATGCTCTTATACATGTCTTTGTAACATAGCGGGGAGGAGGGGAGGAGGGAAGGAGATGCAAGGAACCGACACCCCACGGCAAACTGTGCATGCTCCAAATCCCAGAATTAATTTTAGAATTTCTCAGTTAAACTGGAATTCAGGAGGGAACAGAATGCATATCAGAGCAAGTCAGAGGAACAATGAAGAAACAGGGGAGAGGGAACGTCTCTTGTCCTGATTTCTGGTTCATTTCATTCCTAAACTTTATCTTCTCCCACCCTATCTTCCGATAACTATTTTTTCACCTTGTTTGTTTGTTTGTTTACAGAGTAAGCTTTCCACACTTTTGCCAGGCTGGTAAGTGGGTGTGGATTAGCCAGCAATGTCCCTCTACCCAGCTCTCCCGACTCAGCTAGTTGCCAATGGAGTCACTAGTTTGGTGTCAACCTGTCCTTTCTGACCACCAAACCTGTGGCTGAGTGGACCAACAGAAAGACCCCAATGGGAATTTCTAAGAGTGGCAGTGATGGTGGGGGAGCAAGGTTGCATTGGTACTCTTTGTAGAGTAGGCTAGTTTCTACCCTGACTCACACACCCCTCTCCAGCCTCCATCCACGCAACACATGGCCAAGAGTTCAAGAACAAATTCCAGCTCAGGGAGCTGTTTAAAGTGAGGCCAGTGAGGAGGGCCACAGTCTGCCCCTGGGCTTGAGGTTCACAGCCCCTGATGCCGAGAGTCCACTTTGCAGCACTTCAAGCAGAAGACAGAGCTTGAGGTCTTATCGTGGAGAGGACAGAAGACTTGGTAATGGGCATGCCGGCTTGGAACAAGGTCCCATCGCTCAAAAGGCATGCTTGGGGCTTTGACACTGTGTGCATCTGACTCCTTCATCCTCCTGTCATAGATGCCTGCCCAGGGAATGATTATCACCAACAGCCATTCGGGCTGGGATGGAGGGAAAATTAAAAACAGTTTCAATCAAAGCCACCTGCAGAGCTCTGTCTTCCTCTCTCTCTCTCCCCTCCCCACTGGGCTTCCCTAACTGGGCTTCCTGCCAGCTCTCCCTCCCTCTCTCCCTCCCCCTGCAAATTCCCTGGCACCAGTTTCCAAGCAACAATATTTGAGATACGGCTATGAACACATGATGATTATTTTATTATATGTTTCTCCCGTCGCGTCACTGAGAGATCCCCGACGTGAAATCTGCCAAGTTAAGCACTCTGGAAATACATGCTGGGGTGGAAAGAGAGAATAATAGGTCCAGGAGCAGGGCGGGGGGTTCGTCTCCCTGCCAGCCAGGAAAGGGGGTGGGCTTGGTGCCCTCCTGCCTGAAGACTCTTCTTGGAATGTCTTGGATCCACAAGGGAAAGGAAGCATTGAAGAATGTAGCTTAGCAGATCTCTGCCTAGGGATTGTCTGAGGAACAGCAATCTCTGAGATCCTCACACCAGAAGACGGCAATGTCCCTGAGGTTGTCCCTTCACATTTCTCAAAGGAGGACACTATTCACTGCTTCCTCACACTTCACTCGCCTTGGAGCTTCCAGAAAAATGGGAAATCTAAAGATGACTCAGCATAGCAGAGCCTGCCCCTTTTAATTCCAGCTACCTGACAGACTTGGGATGCTCATCTGCTTCCCCACTCAATCAAACACAGAGCAACAACCTTCTTCCTTGGGAGCTGTCTGTGGTCCTGAACATCACCAGCCTGCACACCACAATAACTGTCCATGGTCCTGCACATCATTACCTGCTTCTGGCTGCTGGTGAACTCACATCCTAGATCAACGTCCTCCAGGCGTCTCCACTGCCCATCATCACAGCATGTTTTGGCGAGAGAGGAATCCAAGAGGAGCTGCGGTTTTGTCTTGTGACAGCCTCACAATACTTTCCTCAATGCAGATCTTAGCATGGGGGTCGGAGGCGACATCTTTGCATTGTGATCCAATAAAAGGGCCTTGCACACACCTGCAAACCAACCCCTTAGAGGAGCTCCACAGAGCTGCATGCTGCCTCTCAGGATACAGACTGGAGCATGTATCAGACAGTAAAGGATTCCTAGGCTCCAGAGGGGGTCCAGATGCCCAGGCTGGAATTGCCTTTCCCTGACCCAGGAGAACTATAAAGGCTTGCTGCCTATGGTCCAGTTGTGATGCCTGCATACAAGGTTCCTTCAATACTTAAGGAGCAGAAGACTGAGGTAGGTTTAGGGCAGGGGTGGAGAAACCTCAGGCTCAGCAGCCAAATGTGACCCACCCCCCCAGGACTCTGTAGCTGGTCCTTGGCTACACCTCCTACCAGAGCACAGTCCAAACTAGCCCCACTCCTTGCCCTCCTCAAGTGCTTTCGACTGGCTGGAATACAGCCTTGAATGTCAATGACGACTCTTGCTAGCTTGCCTAGATGAAAGATTGTCAGGGTTCTGCTAGCATGCATCGAAACTAGCCTACTGTATATTAATAATAATAATAATAACAATAATAATAATAATAATAATAATAATAATTTATTTATACCTGCCCATCTGGCTGGGTTTCCCCAGCCACTCTGGGCGGCTTCCAACAGAATATTAAAATACAACAGTCTATTAAACATTAAAAGCTTCCCTAAACAGGGCTGCCTTCAGATGTCTTCTAAAAGTCTGTAGTTGTTTTTCTCTTTGACATCTGGTGGGAGGGTGTTCCACAGGGTGGGTGCCACTACCGAGAAGGCCCTCTGCCTGGTTCC